GTGAAATTCAGAGTAAATATGAGGAGTACATCTTTATCGAATCTAATTTTTTTTTTCATCGGACCCACTGATTTTTATTTTTTTATAAATGACCTTGATGAAGGTAATGTGATTCGCCAAATTGAATACTTATAAAATAGAACATTTTTAATTATATTTGAAATCCTAAATACAGTTTAAATAAAAAACTAAAATAAAACAGCAAGAGTTATACAATACTGAACTGGATCATATTATACAATAGTTTGTAATTAAACTAAATGCTGATTTTTTTTTTTTATTTGCGAAACTGATAAAGTATCAAAAATTCAAATATGATTTCATTTTTATTTAAACTTTGAAATATTAATATTTTTCTTGTTAAAAATTAATTTAATGTTTTTATAATCACCTTGAGCCATAGTTAGATTTAAGGATTCGAGAAAAATTTAATCTATAATTTAAAAAAAAATTAATTACATTTAAATTAAATTAAAATAAAAGTCCTCCGAACAATAGTCGATGCTCCGTTCTATGTAAAAAACAAAACATTACATCATGATCTTAATACTCCATTTGTCCTAGACCTTACTACTGAAAATGTTTCCAAATTCCATCAGAACCTACAAATCATCCAAACACCCTTGCACAATCTAGTTCCACTAATCTCTACAATCCTCCTTGAAGGTTGAAGCGGCAGTGGCCCAGAGATCTTTTGTATTATATATCTTGGAGTTCTGGCAATGGCCAGATTCTCCATTCAAGACGTTAGTGTATGTGGCTAAAGCGCTCTCGATCAATCTCCATGGCTTAAGCACCAGTTACGTGGTTAAGAGAGTAGCGCAGGGATCTCTTGGAGTCCTGCTTTTCCGTCTATAGTTGGAGGGACAAGCCTGGTTTGGTTTTCCATGCCTGGCTGTATATATTGAATGTGCATATTGTATATATTGTATGACTGAGTTTTTATGTGTTTAATTTACTTATCTTAAGGTTATTTTATTTTTTATTGTAAATAGTTGTTGATTATTATATACTTATTATTTTACTTTTGTTAATTTTATGTTTTCTGTATATATGGTGTGAATGTGTTCACATCTGAGTATAATTATTGTCCACGTGACAGATTATTATGTTTCTAAATAAATAAAAAATATTACATTCTAATTACTTCTTTAAAGGAATACAAGAGTCTACAAAATTTTGATTATTCACTAGCATGCTAAATGCTACCAAAAGATTGCTTTTGATTCATTAGCCCACAAGATTTACGCTGAAAATTATTTTATCACTAAACTAACTAAAAACACTAATACACATAAAAATACTCAGCAGTTTATCAGAACAAGAAGTTCGCAGAAACACGTGACGCAAACAACCACGGAATGATTTCAAGAAAGCAAATTTTAGGATTCAAAGGACCTTGAAACATGCAAATTAAATGAGATGTCCGAAATTATTTCTACAGATAATAGAGGATGTTTCGACTTACATAACATTACCAAATCTGTAAATTATGTAAATCATTCTTAATGTTTTATACCATTTTGATATATTGCAGAATACGATTAAAACACATAATTCATAATTATTGAGCAGCAAGTAAGCACTAAGACTAAACAACTCTTATTAAACATTTCAGACAAACAACATATACCTAACAATAAAAATAAGTAAATAATCAACTGCATCGAATACACTTCCCACTTCCTTCCTGAAGAAAACAAAAAAGATAAAAAAAAAGTTAAAAACATAAAAAAATAAACAAATAAAGGTATTCCTTATAAAGGTATTATAATTTCCGAGTAAAAAATACCCAAATTTTCAAATTAAAAATATTTAAATTATACTTGACTGATAAGAGACAAACTAAGATGGCAAAAACTGATAAGAAGATATAATCAACTCTAACATCTGGACTGCAGATCCTTACTTAACTTACGAAACAAACGCCTAATCTGCAACACTATACTGAAGACCTGTTTGGGCACACAATATAGAACTTTTTTAGAACTTCACGGTTCAGCAAAAGAAGTACACAAAAACAGAATATTAACAACAAAATCCAAACTTTTTTCTACAAAATGTTACCGCACCATGGTATATTTCAAATCATTCTATACATAATAAAAACCACTTTGAACAAAATTCTGCAACAGAAAAATATAATAATCTGGCTGTAAACTAAAATAATTTAAAAAATACACAACAATAATGTATCAAAAACAACATATACAAGTATACTACTATACGCTACTAGCCCGTGGTACAGACCTCTTTTATCAAATTATAAACATTCGCGTTAAACTTCGTGCATACTTTTATCTCATCGTAACCTAGAACTATTTTATTAACGAAAACGCTTGGAATTGGGGCGATTTCTATCTGGAGGACAGCAAACTTTGACTATTTAATTAATTACTAAAAACTTGCATATACTCATTTGCTTTCCACTTGGATCGTTAGATAATTTGCTCGCAATATCCAGAAAAAAGGTAGCCTAAAAAAATATTGGGCAGTTTAGCCAATACAATCTCGTTATTTTGACATTTTGGTGGTGTAGGTCACTCCAAACGGCTCAATAATTTTGAAAGCCACCTTTTTTCTCGAATCTCTGCTCAAATTATCTGACGATTTAACTGGAAAGCAAATAAGTATTTCCGAGTTTTTAGTACCTAGTTAAATAAACCAAGTTTGGCGATCTACAGATTAAAAACGCCCCAATTCTAAGAATTTTTGTAAATAAAATATTTGTACGTTACAATGAAATGAAGCTCTTTACGAAGTTTCAATCGGATGTTAATAATTTTATAAAAACAGTTCTGTACTACGGACTATATCTACTGGCCTTGGAAAATCGAGAAGGCATGAAAAATCTAACAACTCTAACTGCTGCTCAGAAACTCTTCGTGTAGTTAAGAAATAGAAAGGTGTAGTTGTGTATAAATATTAATTTACCCTTTATATAATGCTGTAAGTAGTAATTTATAATTTTCAACATCTGTAAGTACAATGTAGTCTCTAGTCTCTAGTTTCCTGGTAATTTATTGAGCTTCTATAAAATTTATGTATGTTTATGGTTGAAAAATAAAACAAATAAAAAAATGAATGAAAATGAAAGCTTTTTTATTAATCAAAATGTGTTGCATTACTCTTGATATATTTCTGCCTACGTGTTGGTAACTCTTCCATTTCTTCTCAATAGAATGTTGAATCGTTACTATTAACAAATTTCGAAAATGCATTTTCTATAGAATTTCTATCGATAACATTTTTAAATCTTATCTAAGTGGTCAAGTTGTCTAAAAAAAATGGTAGTTAGTAGGGCTTTCTATTGCGGCAAAGAAGTCAAGAGCTAAATTCATCACTAAGATTTTTTTCTGGCGGTTGTTTAATTCATTTGGGACCCAAGTTTCAAGATTTTTTACCTTTCTAATTGCGCAGAGATGTTCAGCGATAATTTATTTGCTAATTGGAAGTTTATGTGCAAGTTATAGACCCAAGCACGCAAAACATCACGCAAGGGAAGAAGTTCTCCAATGATCACCTATGCCTTATATATAAGAAAAATCACTCGAAAGTTTGTTATATATTAGGTTATAATTGGGAAAATTCCAACCACACATCCTTAAGTATTCAAAATGAAGATGAAAAAAAAAATCGTCAACGTTTCGCCAATTCAGGCATCATCAGGAAATAAAATAAAATCGAAGATCACATCACTCCATGTCGTCCACGGTAGAACAGCTAAGAAAGGTTATATATAATCAAACAGCTGACCAGAAAAAAAATGGACAGATAAAGAAATATATCTAATATCCAATCAAATTTCATACACATGTTACAAAAATTAATAAAATTACGAAGAAAAATATAATTATAATAACGAGAGAAAAAAAACCAACATATATATAAAAATACACATCAAAGGAAGGTTATCACAAAAATATTTAATTACGCAGATGAAGTTCAAAAAGAAAAACTATAGAAAATTAGCCCGATTTATTATGCGCATCTATGATGTTCAATGTTTCAGAAATTTTATTCAAATTTCTATTGTTTGTTATATAATAATAATAATGCTTTATTTATTCTGGGACGAGTCCCTTTAGAATAATACAGAAGGTCAAAAATGTGGGCTAAGGAGCCTCAGAGATAAACAAAAATGTAGAGTAGGTGAATAGTCAAAATAAAAAAAAATAATAAAAGAAATTATAAGTTACTTTCTAATTTAAATCAGTTAATAATAAAAAATGAAAAACTGAAAATAAACATGAAGTAAAAAAATGAAGAACGATCTAATAATTTATATACATATTTACAGTAGTAACTATTTACAATTTCATGGGGACTGGATGGGTAAGAAATGATTCAACAGGCGGGTTTTAAAGGTAGGAAGGGTTTTGGATTGACGGATGTCGGAAGGGATGGAGTTCCATAGGGATGAGGATCGGATAATGAACGATCTGTCGAAAGCAGCGGTTCGGTGGGCTCTTATGTATAAAAATCACAAGACCGGGAACGAATAGAGAATTTGAATTGAAGGAGCTCGGAGATGTATGAAGGACGGTGGGATTGGATGACTCGAAAGAGGAAGGATGCCAGGAAATACTTACGACAGTAGGAAGGATAAAGCCACTTCAACTCTCATTAAAACGGGAAACAGAGGCGTCCCTTAGGATCCCGAAGATGAATCGGACAAAGCAATTTGTCAAACGTTTTAATATAAACCTATAGAGGATTAATATAAAAAAAAAAAATGTGGAATCCTCTATTTTTCCGAACAACCCAATAGTTTTCAATTGTTAGTCCTTTTAGTGTATTAAAATTCTTTTAGAAAAAATTGCCTACAAACCTATTAGTATACGTTGTAGCTGTATATTAATATTACACCTTAAGACTCTTAGAAAATTAAATATATATACCCATATACACAGCCATCAATATGAACTCCAAACAACAAAAGTAAATAATCGACCATATCGAACGAACACTTCTCACTTCCTTATTCCAGGCAAAAATAATCACATAAAGAAATGCAAGAGGGCCCTGGTTAACAGGACAGACCCCGCTGGCCCACATACTCCTGACAGTCCTGGAATTCCTCTGGAGATAGGAGAAAGGTCCGCCGACCCAGGATTCCCAAGTCTGCTCCCATTCTCGCAGACCTCACTCCTCCAGGAAGCGGTTATTATCTGTATTCATTGATAGATTCCTACATTAACAATATATTATCTTTACCTAGAAATTCGCAACTACGCGGTACTAATCCGTAGATTTACATTATTGAAGTGGATAGATTTATAGATGTATTTGAAATCTGGAAATAAACAGAGAGAAAGTTATTTTCGTCAATTTTAACTGAGATTTGTTTAGCAGACTTTTCTAGAGCGTGATTTCGCACCAGATAATTATACAGATAAGACTTTATAGGAAGGATTACCGGACTATACATCTTCCTACGTAGTCTTGACAACACATTGACTGTAGAGTGAACATCTGTAAAAAAATATTTATTTCTAAAAAATCTAAATCTAAATAAATCCAAGGTGAAGTTATGAGTAGATAACAACGATTTCAGTAACTAGTCTTAGACTTCATTAAGCCTTATCAAGAAATATATGAAAAACCAATTATATTTTTATTTAAATGAAATTTATAAGTAATGATTGTAATACATACTTATTACAATTATTACTTATAAATTTCATGAATTATTTTACTAAAAAAAATTTTAAAAAATTGTTATAAAAATTAAATTAAATTGCATAACCACAGACTAGCATCACTGAATTTACAAAATCACTTAATAAATTTACAAAATTGATATTCACTTTGGAAAATTAAAGTAAATCATGACAAATCACAACATATAACACTTACACTTCGACGAGACATATGCCCACCAGCTTAAATCGGGGACAACCAAATTCCTCAGACTGACACTGTACATTATCTCGGACTATTATTCTATAGAAGGATGACCTGGGGCCCACATGTCAAAATGAAACGAAAGATTTTGAACTAACGACTGAAAATACTATACTCCCTTTTTTCCAAATCAAAATAGAAAATCAGACAAAAACTAAATTCGTACACTAAATTACTAAATTCGTACCTATTCAAACCCATATGGACATGCGCCTCAAAAATTTACGGTTCTGCAAAAAAGACGCACTTACAAAAACTACAATCATTTCAATCCAAAATTTTACGACTAATAACAGTAGCTTCCTGGTACGTAAACAATAAAACATTACATACTGACTTAAAAAAACCAACTTTCGACCAACACATACGTACTCTCTACTCCCGATTTTATCTTAAACTACATGGACACCACAACGGACTTATCAACGACATGGCCACAGCTGACATGCTCATCAGGAGACGACTAAAGAGGAGCTGCATGAGAAATCTCCTGAATTATGAAGTAGACCAAGATTGAAAGAGGTACTGCTGGGTACTAATCTTCCTCATATCTTAAATGCCAATTTTCTATACAATGAGATCACATCTGCTTATTGTTAATATTATGACAGGTGTGAAAAGAAGTATGAAGAACGAAAAAAAAAATTAAATTGTGATCATCTGGTATTACTGCTTCTACACTTTAACAAAGTATGTAATATGCAAGGCTGAGATAAACGAATGATTTTTTTTTAAACGGCTTTTGATAAGCCTCTAAGTTAAAGATCGATTGGCTGATCTAAATGGACGAAAACGTCAATTTTAATTTTCGTCTACATTTATGTCCGCAGCAAAGACTATTGATTATTTCACCAGTTTGGAAGGAGACCAGAACAACATGTCTTTTAACAGATTAGTATTAGAGTTTCCTTGTTTGTATTTATATATAGCTGCTTCAAATGAAAACCGGCATAATTAAAAATAAACTTCCAGTTTTTTATAATGGTAACCAACGAAATGGTTATAATCACGCAAAAGTTGGATTATGTTTTTATTTTATTTCACGATAGATGTTACCAACTAGTCAGGTCAATTTGTTATTATTATGATTAAATAAACTTAAAACTCTTCGAAATTATCTACATAATGAAGTAAGTTGCCATTTTATATTTTGAAACTTATTCCTTCCACATGGAAAAACGAAGAAATCCTGCATGACCCGGCGGTTCTGCTTACTAACGTAACTAATTGTATCATCTCGATGTGATATCGTGGGTCGTGGTTTGGATATCACATGAAACAGTAGTCTTCCTGCATTAAGTTATCTTCGTAATTACAATATAGCTAGTTGGTCCGCGTGAGTAATTCTCACAGTACGTCGGCCAGTGAACAAATTAACATATAACACAGCATGTAGCATGTCATAAAATGTAATAAATTATGAGTGAGAAATATTTAAAGCAATAAGCGGAAATATATTACTGAATTTCAATAGGCGTTATCATCGGTAATAATGGTTCGATTTCAATGCTTTTTTTTTTGGTTATGATGTTCTTCGACGTGGGTTTAATCCACCATTAACTGAATAATTTTAAAGTTTTAGCTAAATAAAGTTATATATTTATTTTTTTTTAAACTTATTTATTGAAAAATATTACAATCTGTCTTAAAGGACATTTGTAATAGTGTGTTTATAATAGTGAATAAGTTGTTATTCTTATCAACAGTTGTTCTGGAGGATTTGCTTATTTTTCAGCAATGAAGGAGAAAACACTCTTTTTATTGAGCTTTCAAACAATAAGAAAAATACAATATCTCCAGGAATATTTCAGTTGTTAATTAGAGCGCTAATCAAATCCTACACAATTTTTTTTTTAATCTATTTCTTTTTGTGCTAGATTTGAAGACGTTTTCTGAACCTGCCCCTGCAGAGATCATTGATTTCCTTGAGTGTAAGAAATAAGTCTTCAAATGGGCAGTCCTAGCGGATAGGTGGATCACATTCACCGACGATTCTTCCAAGATGAAGGAAATGAAAGGCCCCTTGAGTCCGATGCTGTCCCGATCGACAGTCGGAAGTGACCTAAATATTGGACTCGCTGAATCATCCATCACGTCCCTTCACCGGATCCGGAGAAGGGTCAACATTCTTGAAATATTTTCTTTAAATGTCTTTTTGGAATCGGACATTTTTTTTTTTTTTTTATAGGTAAAATCAAATAAATAATTCACATATAGTTCATATACACAAAAACATTGATATATGATCTATCGCCAGGAAGCTAATTTTTCTCTCTTACTTAGTATATAATGGGTTGAAATACAAATAAATTCGCAAACTAGGAAGATTTAAATAAAATTTATTTACAAATAAGCCAATTTCAAAAATTAATTTGTACCAATCGTTGTTCGATTGATATTTCATGACGTATTAGCAAAAGACAATAATAAATAAATATTGTTACCAGGACTTAGTTATATATTAGAAGGTTTATCACGAAGATAGATCAATAATGGTTTAAGGAGAAAAACAATTTAAACTTTTAAACAAAAAAAACTACAGAAGCTAATGACATTGTTGAATATTAATAAACAAAGACCGTCCTTGAGAATAAGAAAGATATTCTAAGAATTATTTAGGCAATTTTTAAGAGGAAGTGGCGCAGTTTACAAAATCGCAAATTATTAAGAACATAAATTAAATATATTTGTAAGAATATTTTATTTATATAGATCAATCATTTTCTTAGAAAATTTTCTTTTGTTTGTATTATTCCGTAAGTAAAAAAAAAAAAATACGCAATTAAGGGAGCGCTAGAAAAGAATTAGTGAAGGTCATTTTTATACGCTGACAAGCAGGAAAACGTAATAGTAATTTATAGTATTATAAAATTTAAGAGCAAGATTACATTCTGCTTTGATGAATGCTGTTGATAATTTCATTAGATAATCATAATTGGAACGATTGTTGATTTTTTTTTTAAATAACTCATTTAATTTTATTTATCAGCTACACCGTCAAAACGTTTGATGATAAAAGTACAGCACTAGAAAAATTTAGCAATCGATTTATCGTTCAAAGTATTTTTTTTGTAATCTTTTATATCATATCATATTGTTATGTATAAATAAATTGGTACTCACCTTAAAGGATGAACTGGAAAAGACCGCTTAGCCTGCTACGTTGACGACACTACGGCACGAGACCAATCCATACCCAACCACCACGAAGGCACAAGCCCGACTGGCTCTATGGGACTGGCTACGTCACGGCCTCTCGGCCAATCCCTGCGCCCCTCTCTCACCCCTCCCCTCCGAACAGGTGACGTCACGGCCATTCATGTCCCCACCAAGGTCGTCTCTACACTAGGCCACGAGGGCTCAATACGTATTTTTTCCTCTTTTACGGAACTTCCGAAAACCGTGCTAATTCTTATTAACCCTATAGCAAAACACTACACGCAGAGGTATAGTCCCATTCAATTTTATCAGCAGATGCGTAAAAACTATGTTTACAATACTTTTTATCTTATCATTCTTATCACACAATCAAACTCTTCCATTAATTCATTAATAGATAATGTTTTTGTTTTATTTCGAAAGTCTTAATAAAAAATTGTGTCTTATCCGTTCATTCATATTTAATTAAAATTATACCAATGCATTTGCTTAATATAAGTTTTCAATAAATTCTCAAAACTAACTATAACCAGTGATGACCAGAAAGGGGTGACGTGATGGAAGTTGCTCCATGAACATTTTTTTAGGAAGTAAATTTTTTACGGGATTTTAAATTTTTAAAGAGGGCATATTTATACGGGACTATGAATTTTTGGAGAGAATAATATTTTTGTAGGATTTCAATTTGCAGGAACTTTCAAACCAGGGAAAGAGACAGCAATGAGAACAACTGACTACAACATTTTCAGAAATTCGTATTATTTTCTTTGGTCAATTTTTCGGACTTATCTGCTAATTTTACGTCAATATAGAAGTTCAAACCAACAACTATGCAAGAGAATTTAAAATGCAGGACACGTACGTTACGTTTTTTAAAATATGAACGTAACACAAGAAAATCAGCCTTAAAATGGACTTTGTTGATAAGAAAAAAAAAAAAATATATAAATGGATGATAAACGATTAAAAAAAGCAGAAGTGGATAAACATACTTAAAATTATATAGTTCCATTTAGTTTTCTTATAGATGTCCTTTCCTGATCAAAGTTTATAAATTTTCAAAAAGGGGTGCGGATTCTACTCAAAACTTTCTTCGCTCCAAAATTTTTAATAAAAACAAAACAAGTCACCTATTGGAATAATATTTTTTTCAAATGTTTTATTGTGTATACATTTTAAAGAAAATACAACCAGTATAATATTTAAAAAACAACAATTAAATTCAGTACCTTATATTTATTATTATTATTTTTTATTAATATTCACTGGTATTTCGAGAAAAATATTTTTATTTTTATAATTTACTAATGCACTTTTATCAATTATCCTAAAAGCCAGTTTATTTGTATATTATAAAATTGATTTCTATTTAATTTACCTTATTTTCGTACCTACCAAGAAACATTGTTGTATAGTAGTTAACTTGGCTTATTATAAATAATTTATGGTCAGTATAGAAACAAGCAGTTCGAAGGTTAGGCCAGTTGACATTCTTTAAAAATTTTATTGTTATTGAACTATTTTATTTTAGTACTAATCTTGATGATGAATACTGCAAATGAGTGCTGGTGATTAATGGTCTGATTTTTCAATCTAGTTTTGCTTTTAAGCTCAATGATTAGGTATTCAAATTTTGTTACTAATAACGCTTGAAAATCTGCCTCGACTTTTAGTCAACTCTGAATGGATATTAAAATATATTTCCTTCTCAGTAACATATTAAATGATAACATAAAATATATTACAATATATATATATTTTTTATTAATTAACGGTAGAGAGAAATACTTTATTGAAAGTAATGCAGCCCTACGACATAGGGTTGCTTTACGCACAGCATACCGATCAATCTATTTGGACATAAGTTATAAATTACATTATTCCACTGCTATATATATCTCTTTCTTTTTTATTTTTTTCCCTCCCTTTTCATAATACTAGTCATATAAATTATAAACTAATAACTACACCAAGACTAATAAACTACACTAAGCCATCAATATTACATAACATACATATTTAACAAAATTCAAATGCTAAGAATTTAAAATTAAATCGCATATATATATATAGCAAAGTAATTCCTCAAATATAGAAAAAAGATAAGAATGTTAAAAATTTAAAATAGAATAAATTAATAAATGATAAAATATTTGTTTTATCAGCAACAAGTGATTGTTGTAACAGTAATTAAAATTGAAATATCATAAGTACATCGTAGAATAGGAGTTTTAGGGCGATAAATTGCGAGAATATTGCGCCCTTATCGTAAGTACATCTACGTTTTATACATTAAAAAAAATTAAACTTAATAAACAATTTCCAAATATCCGTTGTAGCACTCCTTGCAAAGCAGCAGTGCATATCACAGCCACCACCTGCTCTGTAAGTAGCCTAGAAAAAGGCGAGGTAATACATATAGTTGATGGCGGATGTTGCCGTGTTTCTCGCATGACTTGTTCCAAAATGTTGCCCACTTTTACCTCTTCGTTAGGTTCCTAAGCGAGCCGGATTTTCCTTGATAGTTAAAAAAGGAAAGAAAACTTTTAACATTTTTATTTCCAATTATTTCTGAGCATTTTCATCTTTGGGAATATGATTCGAAACTATTCCATATAAACATTGGTTACAGACCCTTATTTGTCAAATTATTAACATTCGTATAAAACTTCGTAAGTTTCATTTTATCTTAACCTACAGCTTTTTTATTTACGAAAATCCTTTGAAATGGAGCCCTTTCAAATTGGAGATCGGTAAAATTTGTCAACTTAATGAGATACTAAAAACTCACTAACATCCATTTCCTTTCCACTTGAATCATAAGTTAAATTCATCTTTAATTCAAGAACAAACATGGCCTACAAACATATTGGGCCGTTTGGCGTGACCTCCACCCCCAAGAGGTGAAAATAACAAGGTTATATTGACCATTTGCTTTCAACTTGAATCTTGAGATAATTTGATAACAAAATCAAGAAATAAGGCGACCTACAAAAATATTGGGCCCTTTGGTCTATATAACCTCGTTATTTTGAAATTGAGACAGCGCCTAAACAGTCCAATACCTTTTTTTCTTTCAACTTTTTGATCAAATTATTTTACGATTCAACTAGAAAGCAAGTGGGTATTCAAGATTTTTTAAAACCTCATTAAATTACATAATTTAATCAGGAAACGCCCATTTCTGAGAGATTTTCATAAATCAATAAGTTGTAGGTCAAGATAAAATAAAACGACTCACGAAGGATTATTAATTTTATTAACGATTTTTGTTTAATTGCAGTTAAAAAACAATATCAAGAGTCCATTTTTGTCACTGTTTCTATGTGGTATTTACAAAATTATTTTAAATAACCTGGTGCACGTGTAGTTAAAAAAAAAATAGGAGTAAAATAGTATGTATATTTAATTATAAATTAAGAAATTTGTTTTTAATTATGATAAAAATAATTGGTGCAGTGTGCGCATCATACAACTTTCACTAGCCACTCTACCTGAAGTAGAGAGAAGTATTTTCATGTTTTAGTTTTCATACGCAGAGAAGTAAAAGTTATTTTTTAAAATTTATTTATTGAATAATATAACATCTTTCACATGAACATTGATTATAGGGAGGTAAGATAACATTCACACAATTTGTACAAAACAATATAAAATAAACAGAAACAAAATAACTAAATTATAAAAGTATATGTAATAAATAGAATAAAATAACTTAAAGATAAGTAAATTAAAGAAAAAAAAAACACACATTAGTATATACACAATTTACAAAATAGGCGAGGGAACTCCGAAGGCTTTTTGCTCCAACTATGGAGGGAAAATTTGGATTCCAGGAGATCCCTGCGCTGCGCTCTCAGCCGCTAAAGTGAAAGTAAAAATTATAGAGGATAAAACGTATTCATTTAAAACAACCATACAAAATACTTTGGTGAGTTTCAATACATGAAAGGTATATAAAAGAAATAGAAAAGGATTATATAGAAAATTAGGAATGTTCAACAATTCGAAAAAAGACTTAATGTTAGTACCTATATTGTGGATTACATATATTAGTAGATCCTCAAAATTCTCGAGAAAATATATACATATTTTTTAATTATTACTAACAATAAACAATAATAGGAAACCTTGTATTGACTCAAGTAGTAATTTAAATAGGAGAAATCGGGAAAAGTGGAGTGTTTCCGACTATTTTCGATTGCACAGTTTTTATCTAGGACTAACCCTTATTTCTCAATTAAGTGATTATAAAATCCGTTCATAGTTTATATTTAACCATTTTTTATTAATAGTTACAGTTTGAAATGATTAATTATTTCAAATAAATAATGTTAAAGGAACTTTAGAAGAAGACGTTTTGCAAATTCGGCATTTAATCTCTGTTAAATTGTTTCAATGAAGACAATATCTGCCTGATACAAAATAGCACTTGATTATTCATTGACATACCGAGTTCAATCAAAATCGCTGGAGTACTTTGTTAGGAAATCGTAAATATGTGTATAATCGATGATATAAAAAAAATACAAACATTACATACACGTATCAGAAAGCGAAAGTAAAAAAAAAAAGTTTATGGCATTCTTATTTGCATTTTATTCCTTCATATTATACTACCTCTATTATTCGCTCTTTAAGTTTGGCATTCTTATTATTTTGGAATCTTCCCTCTTAAAGGAATTCCATATTCAAGTGAAGGTTTCACGAACCCTCTTTCACTGCCGCCAGTCACCCAGCTTATGTTCATTAGATGCCTTCCTCTTCTCTGCCACTCAATTGTCAGACCCTACTTTCTGCTGAGCAATCCTGTTGTCTCCTAGACTGGTTTATCCGAATCATCCTTTGAGCGCATCATATTATTATTATTTGCGCTCAAAGGATTCTTTGCTCTATTTGCTTCACATATCGTCGGCACTATGTTAAATTAACTAATGTACAACGTTAAGCAGGTTTACCATTCTTACTTTAGCATTGTGCCGATGATATGACATGCTAATTTGTAATATTTATGGACGAAATTACTATCAAAACTTATTGTGTAGCAAAAATTACATTATTATATTTCTAAAATTATTTTAAAATAGACAATTTTAAATTTATGCTTATTTCCAACTTAATTTATTTAAAACAATTTTCTATTGTTGTAAATAATAAT